TTTTATCATCATTTGCTAGATGGTCAGAGAGACTTGAACACCCCAAGCTTGAGTATAGATTGACGCCTTTGTGTTATGGAAAGGAAGAAGACAGTTGGAGAAAAAAATTCCTTCCTTTCATATTAATTTTCTCCGTAGTTTTCTGACACCCATGGAGATTTTTCCGCGCTGCACTGAACAAAAACCCAATAAGTGAAAAGAAGTTTTTACTTTCAGAAGAACGAAGAGAGTTGGATTTTGCGGAGGAGGATTTTAGGGGATTCCTGTCTGGGTAATCAGTTCGGATTTCAGAATCATATCCTTCCATGGGGATGTCAGCAGACATATTTATCAAAATGATTTATTAAGTCTTACAAGGCTTTCTGACTTGCAGCTCCGAATTTCAAAGAGAATGTGATCTTATTTATGTCACAGACCAGCTCCAACTTCCTGAGGCGACAGCTATCCTTCACTCGTCATCGACCCAGTAAAACTTTCAGTCAGTGATTATGTAATTTGTCTAGCGATAATCATAATAGATTACCTTCCAACGTGTCCTGGAGTTGTAATAAGCCTGTCCTTTGTCAAGAATGTAAATTAGATGATTCTAGTCGCAACATGCAATCTTTACGAGATCGTTATCCTTGATCAAGACAGCCTCTGAAGCTATAAGCTACGGGATTATATTGAATAGTTCTACTCGAGATACATAGAACAGGGGTTCATACTCTATGTGATATAGTACACACTGGGGTCATTAGTTTGACTACAATGTTCGTTAGGATTGAAACTTAAGTAATAGTTTTGAAATCATTCCATCAAAAGACTGAAAACATTATTAAATGTTAAGAGTCTTAAGTAAAAAGTATGTACATCGATGTTAAACTGTTATGCGACTAGGAAGCACCAACGCTCTAGACATGGGCAAGAGACGTTATCATGCCTCGGCAAGAATCTGTGTATCAGCCCAGTGGTTCTAAAACCAGATACAGATCGGTTGACTAGAGATGTCCCAGCAATACGATATTGCATGCCTCTCGCGTAACAAATTGATTCTATTCCAGTTCATATCGCCGTAAAACACCAAAACACCGATGGCGGTCACAGGGGAGACCTGTTTGTTATGCCCGTACATTGCAAAGAGATTAAGTCTTTGATAATGTATCAGTCGAAGAGTGTACGCAGTCAAGTCGTGAAATCCAGCTTTGATAACTCTTTTACCCTTGGGTCCTGCAAGGTTAATGCCCCATCGGGCTTCCTGGTTGGAAAATCGGGCATCGGCAACCTGCGAGGCAGCCAAATGGATGGGTGGTCAGTCTTGCTGAATTGCATACCATCGAACCCCATGTTGCGGCTTAGTGCTCACAGTATCAGTCACTAGATTCCTTTGTGGTGTCCGACAATAAACACAGACAATGTATTTCTCAAAACATTTCTAAGTTATCGTTACAAGATACCCACATCAAATCAGAGAGATACTGACTCACGTGGAACTATTTCTTTGTATGACACATTTGTTATGATCCACAGCATATATTCCAACACAACTTATAACATAGGTCCAGCCATATATCGAATCCACTGACCTTGATCGAAGGTCACACTAAAGCAAACCCATATACAATTCTGGTTATTGTCTTTTTAATATTAGAATTGGTTTGATTAAACAGTTGAAATTAATCAGCTACTCATGTACGTCTACCAATCGTTACATTAACTTTCTATGGTAAGCCCATCTTGACATGACCTGCAAGTGATGATGGCGTGGTGTTGGCTGTCGTCGATGTAGATGGAGACAGACGGTGATGGAACTATAGCCTGTGGCGGTGGTCTGTCCACCTGCCAATCTGCACTCGTAAACTGAGGCATTGTAGGAGATGTGGTATTGGTCGGACTTCCTCGTCAGAAGCCAGGACGGTGTATCAGCTGGATACAGCGGCCCAGACACATGCTTGCATTAGTCCGCTGTTCCCGAGAACCCTGTTATTACACACAAGTAAACTGAAGGCCTCTGGTCGTGGGCGTATGTCGCTTCTTTCATCAGATACAACCAGTATTCAACTATAAAAGGTATCACGGTTTAATGTGACCTTTATTCAGTCTGAAGCGATCCATATCGTCTTGTTCTATCCTTGTGTTAATGCACGCGTGTCTGACACAATGCCTTCCATCATGTTCAGATGAACATAAGATGTTACCGGGCGTGTCCCCGTTACAACGTCGCCATGTTGATTCGCTGGTATTTTGACGTGGATTGTGTAAGACGTTGGTAAATCTGTATCCATATTAACATCGCATGAACTGATCAGCATGAGGATTGGGCTGGCATCTGTTCTACACCAATAACCGCCATGTAGTAGCTGTCTCTACGGAAACAACTACCTACACCCACGTCGCTGTTCAAATATAGCTTCCTCCCGCATCAAGCAGACTCGTCGTGATATAAGGGAAATACTGTTGAAAGTAGGGCAGACCCCAACAGCACAACCCTTACACTGATCATAGCATTCCCAGGATTTCCTCTGGTCAAACGTATGAAGAACCTAAAAGCCCTAAGTTTATTAACGTCAAGTCTCTTTTCCTTCAAAAGTGGTTTCACTTGAAGTCCCTGGAGTATCCACTGCCGTCGTCTTTACAGAACATTCATTAACCTCCATCATCTCGCCCGACCTGTAGTTTCCCCGGCCAGTACGCTTCACTTCCTCTACGCACCATCCTGACCTGTAAGCTTCACCGTAGTTTCACCTCATCCCCGGCCCCTTCAAGCTCGAAATGAAGTCTCCCTGCTCCCTCGACCTGTTGGCTTCCTTCCTCGTCCCTCTATCTGACCACAACTCACCAACTCCTACACCACGACCTACAGGCTCCATAACATAGTTTCCTCTAACCGTCAAGGTCGAACCTGTAGACTCCATCTGTCCCCTTCCCCCGACCCGAAGGCTCTACCGTAACACCTTAAACCCCGACCCCTAGGCTCCTCTCTCCCCGACTCTCAAGCTTCCAACCTTCACGTTCGACCGTGTATCACACCCCTCCACCCAAGCCCCAACTTGTAGGCTCCAACACCATCCATCCTTGACCTCCACCACCATCCACCCTTAACCCGTAGACCCCGGCCGTCGAACTGTATTCTTCATCGTACTCCCACCCCCATCCACCACAGCTTGTAGTATTCTCCACCACCATCCCACCCTCAACCTCCAACCATCCTTATAGACCCCGGCCGTCGAACTGTATTCTTCATCGTACTCCTCCCCCAACCCCAACTTGTAGCCTCCACCACCATCCACCACCATCCACCCTTAACCCGACCATAGACGTCGAACTGTATTCTTCATCGTACTCCTCCCCACCAACCCCAGCTTGTAGCCTCCACCACTATCCACCCTTAACCCGACCCGTATACACCCCGACATGTAGGCCTCATGCCCCTCGATGAATTGCCTAGAAAGGGGAGGGAGTGTTTTGGGGGAACAGGAGGAAGATGGATGGGATATTGATCCCACCGTTCCCGTCCTGGCCTCAGCTGGCAACGTAGACCCAACTGGGAGTGTATCTCACCCGTCTCTGGCAGTCCAGCAGCCATCTAGTTGAGAATTTAAATCGATATTTTGTGAAACTGTGTGGGGTACGTCTATATCAGCAGAGGATCCCGGTAGCAATATGTCTCCACAATCAGACTGTTGGCAGCTTGGTGTGGAGATAGATGAAACTGGCGGAGCGCGGCTATCGGGAGTCTGGCGTCTACGTACACAAAAGCCGGTATTTGTGTACTCGGACCAATCATAAATTTCATCTTTGAAATGATTTTTCATTGATCGATTAACTTAGGGTTCGAACCTTAACGATCAAGGCGCTACTAATAGCGCCCCTCAATCTCTCGCTGTATACAGGTCAGGAGTGTAACATTAAGTAACCAACTGCACCCTTTCAAAGCTGGGATATAGATTTAATGCAACATAATCCTTAACAACTCAAATATATGTAAATATATATAATTCCATATAAAAGCGACAAACCCTTTTAACTCTCATTAAAATCACAGACAACATCAAGAGCCTGTGTATATAAATCACAATCAGTTAGTGATGGTATCAGGTATTTGGGTCAATGTAGGCTCATGCTGCTCTGTCGGCGGCACGCGTCACTAACACATGCAAAGGCAAGTCAATTGTTCACCCGAAAAAAAATCCAAATAGGGGATTGTCCACTTGTATAACCCCTGTATAAAACTTTTGAAAAGTATGACGTACGCAGAGTGTTGTAACCCTGATCAACCAGGGTGGTATGGAAGCATGAGGTGGTCTCACTTGTAATGTAATATTTCGTGTAAACGATATACGGCAGGTTATCGTTATCACATACGTAAAATCTAGGACATATGAGAAGATAGTGAGAGTGTAAACGTTAGGGTGAACTAGCAGACCCTTACAGAAAATTTCAAAACTTTTATGGTTGATAGTTAGGGAAGTTGCCAAATTTGACACTTCACTGATCAAAACAGATCCGACAAATTTACTCATCTTGATGTACCTCATATTTTCCCGTGTTCGGATGAACAGTTGACGTGTGACTTTGCAAGTGCTTGTGCTCACAATTTCGCGAACACCCTGCCTCAGTTGAGCAGTCGTAACGATATATAAAGTCATGCTTATTATACATTCGGAATTGTACCATTGACGTTTTGACAGGGAAAGTGGGCTAAAATATAACGCTAAATCGGCAGTATTTCAGCCATATTGTGGCATCGTAAAGAGTGTCTACCGTTGTTAAATCATTATGAAATACTGAAAAGAACACATCAATTTGGACAACTACTGAACAATCGATATGCACTTGTACATTGATAAATGTCAATAAACACACAACTGACGTGTGAATTTCAACTTGTATATTCTACCAGGCGAAGTCTAGCTACAGGTATCATCATCTGCACGAAACATCTCATTAAAAGAATCAAGTTGAAATCCATCCGTCAGCAGTGTCTTCGTGATGAAGAACTGTAGAAAGCATGGTATTACCCCGGATTACTGTCAGCGGTTTTCGAGCAATTGTTGACCTTTGCTGGACTCTGCATGACGTATGTGTGTCCTCTCTGTCGACATATCTTTAGCTTACCATTGTGAGGCAAGCAACACAGCAGGCTGAAACAAACAATACAATCAGAACATGGCTTCATACAAATGTCATAGCGTCAAACGGGAAGGGGTATACTCGGGGATAGAAATAACGCAACAATGAGTAGGATGACCAACACAGCCGGTTGAAACAAACAATACAATCAGTACATGGCTTCATACAAATGTCATAGCGTCAAACGGGAAGGTGCGTATACTCAGGGATAGAAATAACGCAACAATAAGTAGGATGACCAATATGCTGGAGGTTGTAGGTATCCGAACATATGTTTGGCTTCTCGTTTCAGAGATAGGTGTACGCTTAAAGAAGAACCGAAATTCCGATGGTCAATTATTTCTGCATATCTCATACATTTTGATTGATACTAGGATGAGACCTACTGGCAAACAAGGATAAGTTGAGCACCTGACAATTGACCCGCATTAGCATGTATGAGTGCCGCCCACTGGCGGTTGCCATTGTTAGCAAAGAGGGACCCAGGTTGTCCTCGTTCAAGTGTAGTGCAACTAGCTACACCGACGTGAGAGGCTTATGAGCAAGGCGTGTGCAGCTACGCGCGGGTTCAATTTCATCGCAATGCACGTGCACTAGCCTACATCTGTGCTCTACCTTTCACAAACCAAATGGGTTTGCTCATTGCCGTGCACCGCCTACTTCTCGTAAACGCGTAATCTGCGCCGGTCCAACTTATCCTTGTTTGCCAGTAGTATGCTGATAGTCGAATGTTCTGTGAAGGCAAAAATGGCAATACTGACTGTAAAGTCAAGGCACGTACGTCAGATCAATGCCACCTGATGGCCAATGTGTTCTGTTATCACTGTTCTACACATCCTTTGCACAGAGTACATTGAAATGAAAAGTACTACAAACTGGGACTCTCCAACTCCCAGACGTCCAATGGAGATGTTGCGAGTGGCAGCGTGCAGTCTCGCCATTTTCCCACTCCCAGTAAGTGGACAAAAGTACGTCAAAATGTTGACTGACGTTTGACCCCTTACAGCCATTGTTACTACACGTGATCTTGCACGTATATTCTGCTTTTAGTTTCTTTTTAATGATATTTCTGTGAAGCCTTATAAAATGTTTGTATAAAGCTCTTACAGTATAAAGGTTGCGTTTGAACACTACACCAGTTGATGGAACATGTGACCAACATCAATCAATTAAATATCTTGCATATGTATTGTATGTTTCATGCATAAACAACATCACCATCAGTATTGACTCATACACGTTCCTGTTTGTGAAGAGCGTATCGCTGTTTGTCTGAGAGCTCTGGGGCTGGTGGGGTAGCCTAATGGTTAAAGTGTTCGCTCGTCACGCCAAAAGCCGGGGTTCAATACCCCACATGAGTACATTGTGTGAAGCCCATTTCTGGTGTCCCCCGCCGTGATATTGCTGGAATAGTGCTAAAAGTCGGCGTAAAACTAAAGCTCATTCACTCACTGAGAGCTCTGAATAAAGCAATATAAATGGTGAAACATTCTTGGCAGAACGTTCTTCACATTTCCCCCAGTGTATCCTATTTCTCTCTGTGTAAGCTAGAGTATGTCAGATGGAATGATTGTTTTCATGATTACAGCCATAAGACGAAGGATTCTACAAATATGGTGTTGATGCAGTACCAGGCAATCCTGTGATTGGCATGATAAACATCGATCTACCAAATTAGACATGCTTTTCCAATCAAGTGACAGATCTAATTAGTTGCCTTTACAACAAGCGTAGGTTCCCAGGAACCTGGGCCTATTGTTTAAGCTCTCTTAGCGCTAAGATAGTCGTAAGTTAATGTTAATCCTGTAAGCCTAGATTTTCGAAGCTTTCTTGTAGCGCTGTTGTTTTCGAAGATAGTAGTAAGTTGATGTTAATGTATGGCACTTACGACTATCTTAGCGCTGAGAGCTTCGAAAATCTAAGCCCTGTACTCATGGCCGTCCGGACTGAGATGGTATGGCATTGTATTGATGTGTAAAGAAAACATGTTGTATACGATCTTAGCACCTTTACGGTATTGTATTGTATGGTATCGTATTGATGTGTACAAAAAAACTGTTGTTTTTGCTCTATATTCTAACACTACGCCGTCGATTCCCTAAACCTCTCGCGAGGTCGTGAATTCAGAATAAAATACAGAAACGAGCAGTATCTCATTGTATTGATTAAAACACTAAATGGATTGCTGCGATAACTTCAACAAGACTTTGTTATTCTGCATTCGTTGCTAAATGGCTGAAATACCGCCAATTTTGACGCAGACACTCTATTTGCATTCCTTATCAGGGTAGATCAAATCAATACCATCAAAGGCATGAAAGGGAAATAGCGAGAAACAATATCCATCTTGAAAGAATATGTCAGATGTCAGCCATTAATAACCGTTCTCCAGTACGGTTATCTCTGCCAGCCAGAAATACTACGACATATTTTCAAGCTCTGTTCAAGTGGGCTATGTTATTTATTGAAAGTAGCACATATGAGATCATTAACAAATGAGACGTTTACAATCACAACACAAAACACAATATTGGGTCGAGCCGGACACAAGGTCATTACCTTAGTCCTGGAGGGCTAATCCCATACAATCCCCAACCATGGATTTATGGATGTCGCGTAGCGAGGTTCATCTAGCACAACCATTAGTAGTTCATTGATAACCAATGTACATTAAAAGACCTGGTAAGTGTATATAATCCACGTTGATTGGTCTCAAGGATGAGAAGTAAGCCAGAATTAGAAGGCTTTCTGTTGCTTAGACTCATAAAAGTACTTGTGTTCCGGATTCTCGCTTAGACACAAGAATAAATATTTTATTAAAGGGTATATTTAGATCTTGGATAAAGGATACGGAAACTATATATTGGTATGACGCTTCATTCTTAACAAGGAACACATTCTCCTTTCATCTGACAGTGTGTGGGAATGTATGCCTGTAGATTAGAAACAGTGCTGGATAAATACGGGCTTAATATAGAACATCAGCGCCAGGGTAAAAGCCAGTGTCGATTATCTGCCGAAACAGCTTCCATGGCGAGTAAATGAGCGCGGAGACCAGTCCTCACACGAACCTTCCACTATCATCTTACAAGGTTGCAAAACACTCAATACATCCATTATGATATCGACCTGACATCATTTTATATATGCTCACCACCCGACGGGGATCACACTGCAACTGCCCCCTTGCAAAGCTCCCGCAACAATCATCAGCTTGGAAGCACTTGGACTCGCCTTTCAGGCATACCTTTTTCATCATCATCCTGAACTTATCTCCATAATTAACCATCGGAACGATGATCACCTTAGAAACATCTCCTTGCAATTATCTCCTTACAAACGTCTCCTCCGGAACATTTGACAGTCAACAGGAGTCAGCACCTAAATAGGTATTGACCTTAACCATTGCCTTAACTGTAACATGTGACATTTTGTACCCTGAACCACTGCCTTACAAACATCTCATTACAAATATACACCTTACTCATTGCCTTGAAGGTAGACATCACTGGACATTTACACCCTCAACCGCTGCCGTACAAACATGTCCTGCTAAGTATCCTCCTCAGTCATTGCCTTCCCTCTATCCGATGCAGGTGAAGAAGGTAAGTATCAAGGCCACTTAGATGTAAATATTTAAGAATAAGAAATGTGTTTATTTACGTGACATTAATGCCACATCCATGAAAATTCTTATCTATGTGGCGCGGGCGCATCAATTATTTATCAACTATTTTCAGAGCCTATTTGAACTTTGTCAGCATTGAAACTGTCTGCAGCATCTGTTGACACTAGAACTAACATGTAGTCACTCCTCGGCCTCCTGGTGACAGGCATGTTCCATTAAAGTCTGTCACTCCGTGTAAAGTCCAATCGAGTCATAAGTCGACCAAAATGTAATCTATTTGTCGTGATAATCATAACGAATATTCTGCAACCAATTTATCGTTCATTTAATGCGTCTATTGAAGCGAGGCTTGTGATGTGCTAATTACGTGCAAGTTCAATTCGGGCCTTTCTCAGCCCTTTATTAGCAAAGTTGACGTTCATCGGATGCTATAATTGAACGCTTGCTGTACGAAAGCATCAAGGATCTGTCCCCAGTCAAATATGCGTCCATTGATTGTAGGTCAGCAACAGGTCACTTTTAAAATACGACTCATACAACCTTCCAATTTGCTGAGATAATACAGAGGGTGTCGCCATGACTCATCCTGGGCACATGCGTAGCCGCAGGTACGAAGAGCTTACAATCAATACCACAATTATTTTTCTGGGGATCTAGTGGGGTTTTGTGGAAACATAATTCAAGACAAAAAATACATGGAATGGAGGTCTTGAGAGGGTTACATTACGGCTTCAGTGAGAATTTCAAGCCTCAAAGGGCAACATTCAAGATGGCGGCTGTCAAAGAGCAGCAGACGACTAATCGGTCAGATACTAAGCCAGAAGCACAAATGTCCGAGTTGGAAGAATGAGGTCATTTGTCAGCATACTGCAGCATAATCTATTACAAAATGTTACATATTTCTTCCCTCAGCGTTGATGGCCGTGAAAGCATGCTGGTGCAATTTTACCAAAGCCACCATTTAGATGGGCGATCCATGTCGTTTCACAACGTACTTTCAGGTTTTTACCACATATGGTCAAGTACGTTTTTCATCAATGCTGGGGCAGTTCATACAGGAACCATGCCATTACCCAACTCTGAAACTGGATGAAATGTCATTGAACTGGTTGTCGACGGGAACTCCAAAAGGAGTCTCCATACATTCACAGGTAAAGGGTTCGAACCCAGATATTCTACACCACGACTGAAGATTAGGTTTCTCTACTGCCTCGGGATTGTTATAACAGCCACATTACTCTCCAATTACTCACACACTTTTAAAAACAGACATATTGTACAAAGATTGAGAATGCAATATAAAACGAGCTTAAAGCTGGTTTAGAAAGCATAGTTACAGTCACCGCCATGAGGGATATATTAAAGTCAGATATGTTTGGTTAT